TGCAAAGTGTTAAATCAGGTGTCAAAAGCTCAACTACCATGTGAGCTAGGCAGGTAACATCAATGATATTTAAAACAATAAGTGCCAATTGATTTTTGAGTTTGGTGTTAGGTGACCTAAAAAGAACCTTCACTGCATTTCTGTACAAAAGAGTATATAGTGTATATTTTTTGAATATTTAGAATTAAAATTTTAGATGGGTGAGAAACTTTAATGCTGTGTTCCACTGTTAGTTGAAAAGTTGCAGCTTTATTCTTGGTAAGTTTGTTTTTATTTATGGTAAATTTAGTAATTGTTTCCCTTTTATTTTTTTAATCTTTAAAGTTTTTTTGTTTAGTTTTGTTTTTTTTAGTTTATTTATTTATTTTTGAGAGAGAGCACAAGCTTGGGAGGCACAGAGAGAGGAGACAGAGAATCCCAAGCAGGCTCAGTGCTGTCAGTGCAGGGCCCCAAGCAGGGCTCATACCAATGAACCTTGAGATCATGGCCTGAGCCATGCTTAACTACTTTAGAGTTGATACTTAACCAACTGAGCCACCCAGGTGCCCCTCCCTCTAACTTTTGAACATAAATGGCATTTAACATCTTCAGAGTGTGTGTGTGTGTGTGTGTGTGTGTGTGTGTGTGTGTGTGTGAGAGAGAGAGAGAGAGAGAGAGAGAGAGAGAGAGAGAGAGAGACAGGCAGACAGACAGACAGACAGACAAGGACCAATCCTGGGGTTCTTTCTGTCCTGTTCTATTTTGAGTTCAGCTTTTTGGGAAGCATCCTCCCCCATCCTACTGACATATCTATTCCTCTCCAGAAGGGTTTTTTCCCTTGAAGCAACATCATTTATATTCCCACTTGAGCATTCTGATGTCTTGTTTTTGGGTCCTAAAAGTAGAGCTTTTAACAAATGAATAACCTATGGTTTGCTTCGTGACAGGTCTCTCCACTCACAGGTTGAAGGGCTCTAGCTTGCTTGGTCTCATTTGATTTTCATCATCCTAGCACTGACAGTAAATCACACAATGGTCATACTTTTCCTTGGATATATTTCTTTGTATCCTTTACTTGTCATATCAGGATCATGAAAATCCCGCTGCTCATTAACTTTGTCAATTTAAATAGGACCCCCCTCGCAAAGCGCATTGAATAAGCATCAATAAAGCATAACATGTGATGTGTGTGAAGGCATCAATCATCTGTCTGTTGCACCCACTTCTGTCATTTTCGCACTTTCTGCTCTCTAAGAACTCAGAATACCAAAGGGGTGGACAACTGAAAGAGACAGATGAAACGGTTGATTTGTTTAGTTGCTAAATGCAGCTGGGACAGGTAATTAAACAGTCCTGCTCCCGCAGAGAAGCCTGCAGCAATGTAACATGAAGTCTCAAAAACCCAGCTGTACTCAGATTTAGATTCAGAACTAATATTAGGTAGGCCTCTTTTAGATTGACAGATTTCATAAACATTGTTTCTGGTTTATTTGTTCAGCGTGATTGAAGATGGAGCATGTGTGTTTTGCTCATGGTTTAAGTTTCTAGGGAGCATGTACTGTTTATAGACATCTGGGAGAATAGCCTAGAAGGGCACAGCCCTGTATCTGGAAGGTGAGGGATTCCATGGGCGACCCTCTGTTGTTCCTCTATGCTCCAGTCTGTTCCTGACTTGAACTGTTTCGTGGATTTGGGGAGTGGGGTCAGCCATGTGAATAGATCAGGATTAGTAAGGGGACAGGATGAGGAGATTGGATCAGTTTCTTCCTTAACCCTTTTATTTTTTATGGGCACATATGGTTATGTAAGTAACTGATCTGTGTGTACAGTAATGTCTTTGGGGCATTTCTATGCAGAAATTGCTATCACCGTCAGTTGCTTGAGTAAAAATTTAGCAATTATCTTTTTCATTGACCTTCTACAAGCAGTTCCCTGGCAGGCTTTTTGTAGGGCAGGTGCATTCTTACCCTTCAATTTTTACCGCAAATGTCCCTGACTTTGAAACCTACCCCGACCAACTTTCCAAACTGACCTCCACCAGTTGTGTGTGGTGTCTTGACTCTGATTAGCTCCTTCATGGCACTTATCACAATTAGCAATTATTTGCTTTTCATTTTTTTGTTGGTGAATTGTTTTTTTGTTTGTATCTGCTTGCCATCTTGTTATTGTGTTTCACAATGGATATTTGTGCCAGGGGCAGAGGTCAAGACTGTTTCTTTCATTCACCTAATGATTCCAACTCATAACTCAAATCCTTGTACATAGTTTACATCCTATAAATATATGCTGGATATGATGTCCAGACTAGATTGTAGATTGTGGTATGCTGGTAAATGTCTAGCTCTCAAAACAAAAATCAAAAACCAGCCCAAATTTGTAGCATTTACCAGTATCCGTGGTGTTAATAATCCCACCATGGCAGATTTCAAGCTACCAAAATGACATCATGGACTGCTGAGCTCCGAAACAATTCACAATAGCACTTCAGTGTTTCCAATTTCTCTGTGGGAACAGGACTGTTTAACTACCTCACCCAGCTTTATTTTGCAGCTCAACATATCCACCATTTCATCTCTTTCAGTTGCTCACTCCTTCAGGATTTTCTAAGTTTTTTTTTTTTAACTTATTTTTTAATTTACATCCAAGTTAGTTAGCATGTAGTGCAATAATGATTTCCGGAGTAGAATCCAGTGATTCACCCCCTACATATAACACCCAGTGCTATCCCACAAGTGACTTCCTTAATGCCTCTTGCCTATTTAATCCATCCCCCCACCCACACCCCCTCCAGCAACCCTCAGTTTATTCTCTGTATTTAAGAGTCTCTTATGTTTTGTCCCCCTTCCTGTTTTTATATTATTTTTGCTTCCCTTCCCTTATGTTCCTCTGTTCTAAGTTTTTAGACAGAGAGTATTTCCACTGTACATGTATAACAGAAGCCCTTAAAGGAGGTAAAGTGTGGTAAAAATAATTAGGAAGTGATGGATTTTGAATACTTATTGCATTTGTCTTTAATATTATTTAATTGTAGTTGTATAGAATTTTCAATAGCTAGCTTATAAAATTCCTGAGAATTGAACAGTCTGTTCTTACAAGTAATCTTCGCATCATAGAGACGACCTGTGGGTGGATCCGCTGACCACTCTCTGCGCTAGTGTTTGCCTTATAAGCAAAGGGAGATGGTTGGCGGTTTCTTATTACAGACAGATTCGAGAGTTTTTATTAACTTTTTACTAGTGAAAATAAAAAAAAACACTGAAAAACCCACACATGCGTACACATACACGAATAATAAGGAAACTATGTCTCCTTCCTTCTTCAAGGATGTGCATGACTTGGTGCAATGACTAGACAGGAGGATGAGGTGGCGGCAGTGAGAAATAAATCACAGAATGGGAACAAGAATCACGCAATGTTAACCCTTCGTTTAAAGTGCTGGAACATCTTTTTTTTTTTTTTTTTTTTAATACTACAAGTAAAAATTTATTGACCCTGAGAAAGTACTTCTATTTTGATGTTGCTTCTCACTTATCACAGGAATTACTTCCCAAAAAGAGTGCTGGAACATCTTCATGCCAGAGATGGTGGTAGATCCTGAAGTGCTCGGTGGTCAAGAGCACTTAACTTTCAGAAAATTAGCCCAGGGCCGGAAGTCCCTCATGCCTGTTTTAAGTCCTTGAGGTCTTAGTCCTTAACACTGTTTGCCAGTTCACATTTGTCTGTGTGTATATGGTGGGAAGGAAATGAGCCCCAGATGGTGTCTGAAGAAAGGCCTGTAGATCTCTGGGGACTCAGAGCAGATGTCTACAGGGAGGTGACAAACTCAGAGATAAGGGATTACAGAGAATAGGATATATGAAGGAAGGAGCCATGTTATGGATGCATTGCCACATTCTGTAGGGTTTTCTCCTTAAATGTACAGTTAGAGGTGGGCTGGTACTTTTAGAGAAATAGACTATTGATATAAGAAATATAAACCATAATTAGTACCATGTAACCACATTCGAGTTTGTAGCCTCAATGAGAAATCATTAGCTCCATCTTTGAAAGTCAAGGGAGTGGATTTGTTAGTGCCTTTTTGACCTTTACAGCCAACAACACTGAGTCTCATCTCTTTACTTAGACATTGGCTAGAATTTCTTAACCTTTGACTCATCTGAGCCCATATGAATTCTTTTAAGCCAATGGCATCAATCCTAGGATGGAATAATGATTGCCTTCCATATTACATAACTACTCTTCCCTAACTGGAAATTGTTCTCACTCAAGTTGGTGAAATGGGAAAGGAGTTCTTTTTTTTCTTTTTTTGCTTTTGTTTGTGGAAAAGGAGTTCTTGAATGAAGTGCCATTTTTCACAGATTAATTCAAAAACACACGAGCCCATGTTTAGTACCAGGTACTATTGTAGGGCCTGAGGTTATAGAGAGAACATACAGACTTTGCACTTAACCAGGGGGGAGCAATCAAGAAAATAGAAATTGTAAACAGCGTAGGTTGTGAGCTGTGAGAGAGATGTGTACAAGGTGGTCTTAGACCCCACACAGAGGCACATTAACTTTGATATTAGGAAGAGCTTCCTAGAAGCGACACTTACACTGGAAGTGTGAGTGGAAATTAGGTAATAAAGAGGAACTAGAATGTTCTGGGAGATGGGAAGCCCTGCAGAAATGTGAAACACTGAATATATACTGGAAACTATAGAAGGTTTGGAATGCCTGTTGCTTCGAATTGAAGGCAGGACTTTGTCTGTCTCTCCATTTCTAGGGAATCTGAAAGGAAAAGAATAAGAACAAGCAAACAAATGTTGCATATGTTATTGGTGATTAGTTTTCCCATTATTGTCCTCTACCGGGATCTTCGTGATCTGATTTAAGAGGTGGGGCTTTCATGCCAAAATAACACTTGACAGAGGGATTAACAGTTGGATATGCCCTTGTCATGTTTGATGTTACTGCTTGTGTTTTGCTACAGTTGCTGCCCATTCACACTCTGAGACTTGGCATGGAAGTGGATTCCTTTGATGGGCACCATTATATATCTTCAATTGTTCCAGGTGGTCCTGTTGATACACTGAAACTTCTGCAGCCAGAGGATGAGCTTCTTGAGGTAAAATTTCTGAGAGATAAAAGACAGGACAGGAATTTCTAAGTTGTAGGAAGATGTATTTTTACCAGAAATTCACTGAGTTTACATTACTTCCAATGTAATGTGAGCTACTTAGGTTGAAAAATACTTGGGGACTATTGTTAACAATACTGTGTTGTATACTTGAAAAATCACTATAAGAGTGGATCTTCATGTTCTCCCCACACATACACAAAATGGTAACTATGTGAGGTGATGGATAAGTTAACTAACTTTATTGTGGTAATCAATTTGCAATATAGGTGTATGTGAAATCATCACATTGTACGCTTTCAACTCACACAGTGTTATGTGTCAATTATATCTCAATAAAACTGGGAAAAAAATGAAATAAAATGAAGGCAAAGAAAAATACAGCCTGTGTAATGACAGTTCATTTTCCCTGTCGTTTGGAAGTCCTGAGATATTCTTTTGAGTGCTTATTTAAGTCATTGAGAAAAAAGGCTAATGGCCTGTTTTAGTTTTATAGCATAATTTCTTTGTTTTAGCAAATTTTTTTTAAAGATTTGAATCCCTACACCTTGTTTGCAGTATATGGTCCCATTCATTTGCAAGTTTTATTGGTTATTTCTAATATGAATTAAGCTAGCTGGATGACTTCAGGCTTATGTATTACTGAGTGGTATTTATATGGTCTCCTTGGGATTTGCTCACACAACATGGCAGCCTCAGTGGGCTCACTCAGGCTCCCCAGCCTGTCTTCATTTAGAGCAATTCTACAGCGCTACTGCTTTGACAAGACTTTCTTGAGAGATTTTGTTAAATTGGACAGTTCTATAGGTAACACAAAAAAAACAAACAATATTGAATCCCCTAGTTTTACAGACAAGAAAGTAAGTCATTGATTATTTCCAACTTTATATCCTCATAGCATGATGACTTTAGTTCATGTCTTCTAACTCCCATTTCACTTTTTTCAAATACATCACACTACTTCCTAAGCTCCAAAAAAAAGTTAGTGGAGGGCAGGGGATGTGGGGAATGTCACACTTAGAGAAGGCTATGTAAAAGAGGGTTCTCCCAAGAGTTAGAAACCACAGGAAGCCCTCAGTTGAGCTTAATGGAATCAACCTTGTAGCCTTAGCCAAGATTAGACTCCCATGGGCCTTGATTTTAGAGATTTCTTTCTAAAGTTTATGCAAAGTGAAATGACAAGGGTAGCAAGTAAGTTTGTTGTTCAGTGCAACTGCATTTTTTAGCAGTGTCTGGCTACCTGGAGAAGAATGTTGGGAATTCTGGACTGACTTTTGAGGTCAGAGGGAAAGCTGCTATGACTGGTTGTTGTATTCTGTCATAAGCAAGGGAGGGCAAGATGTTGGAGTCCTGTTTTAAGATGTAGTAAGTTACAGGGTACCTGGAGGGCTCGGTTGGTTAAGCATCTGACTTCCTCTCAGGTCATGATCTTGCAGTTTGTGAGCCGGAGCCCTGTGTCGGGTTCTCTGCTATCAGTACAGAGGCCACTTCAGATCCTCTGTCCCTCTCTTTCTCTGCCCCTCCCCTATTTGTGTGCGCTCCGTTTCCTTATCCCTCTCTCTTTCTCAAAATAAATAAACTTAAAAAAAAAAAGATGTAGTAAATTGCTTATTTTTAGAAGTGCTCAAGTAATCATACTGAGATGCTTACTGCAGATTAATGCCCTTAGGTTTTACTTACATGACTCAGGGTTTTTTGTTCTTTGCTTATTGTTTTGGTTTTTGTTTTGGTACTGAGGTCATATCTTTCTCTTCTGATCGTCAGGGCATGTAGTATAGCTTTATGGATACCACACATGATAATCTGGAGATTGGAGACCATTTCTTTTTAATTTTTTTTTAATGTTTATTTATTTTTGAGAGCAAGAGAGTGTAAGCCGGGGAAGGACAGAGGGAGAGAGAGAGGGAGACACAGCATCTGAAACAGGCTCCAGGCTCTGAGCTGTCAGCACAGAGCCTGATGCGGGGCTTAAACTCATGAACCAGGAGATCGTGACCTGAGCCGAAGTCGGACACTTAACTGACTGAGCCACCCAGGGTCCCCTGCAGACCATTTCTATAATATGAAGTGAGTTTTGTTTTTGTTTTTGTGTTGTTTTTATTTATTTATTTTTAAAGTTTTTGTTTTATTTTTTTAATGTTTTATATATTTTTGAGAGCACAAGCAGGTGAGGGACAGAGAGAGAGGGAGCCCCAGAATCCAAACAGGTTCCAGGGTCTGAGCTGGCAGCACAGAACCCAATACGGGGCTCAAACTCACAGACCGTGAGATCATGACCTGAGCCAAAGTCGGATGCTTAACTGGCTGAGCCACACAAGGCACCCCTATTTTTTTTTTAATTTATTTTGAGAGAGATCGTGCCTGAGTGGGGGAAGAGGCAGAGAGAGAGAGGATGAAAGAATTCCAAGCAGGCTCTGTCCTGTCAGTGCAGAGCCAGACATGGGGCTTGATCTCACAAATCATGAGATCATGACCTGAGCCAAAACCAAGAGTCGGCTCCTTAACCAAGTGAGCCAGCCAGGTGCCCCTATAATATGTAGTTTTTAGGTATTATTGAGAAATGAGAGATTTTTGTTTGGAGAGAAGTGGAATTAGTAAAAATCAGTATGATGCTCTCTTTTTTTTGTGAGAAAGATACATACGTTGTACACCTGAAACTAATGTAATGTTGTATATCAACTACAACTTAAAAATTTTTAATTCCAGCTTAGTTAACATACAGTGTTTCGTCAATTACGATTAAAACAAATACAATAAATTACTTTTTCTCCAAGAAAAAAATGTATATACATAACAGAATTTGCCATTGTAACCATTTTTAGTGTATGACATTAAGTATGATTCACTATTAGTATATGGTAGGTGATAAAGAAATATTGGCAAGTATGGAGCAAGTGATTCTGGCCATCAGCTGAGTCCTCTGAGCTTTAGCCAAGATTAGAATCCCATGGGCCTTTCCTCTTCTAACAGAATGTGGTATAGTAAGGTAGTATACTTTCTTAAGTATAGTTTCTGGTGAAGAAACTGGAAATAGGGAATGAAAGATAGGTTTGAAGTCAGAAGAGCTGTTCTGGTTTTGAATTTGCCACAGCTTCACCATGTGTCCTTTGACATGTCAACTTTTTTGAGAATTGTTTTTTGATCAATAGATGCCTACCTCACCATGGTTTTTGTAAGGATGTAATGGAATATTAACTTTTTTTTTTTTAACATACCGTGTTTTATTAGTTTCAGGTGCACAATATAGTGATTCAACAATTCATAGATCACTCAGTGCTCAAGACAAGTGCACTCCTTAATCCCCTTCACCTATTTAACCCGTCCCCACCCCCCACCCCCCTCTGGTAACCATCAGTTCTCTATATTTAAAAGTCTCTTTCTTGGGGCCCCTGGGTGGCTCAGTCGGTTGAGCATTCAACTTCAGCTCAGATCATGATTTCATGGTCCATGAGTTCGAGCCCTGCATCGGGCTCTGTGCTGACAGCTCAGAGCCTGGAGCCTGCTTTGGATTCTGTGTCTCCCTCTCTGCCCCTCCCCTGCTTGTGCTCGCTCACTTGCTCTCTCTCAAAAATAAACATTAAAAAAAATTTTTTTTTAAAGTCTGTTTCTTGATTTTTCTTTTTTTCCTCTTAGCTCTTTTGTTCCGTAAATTCCATGTGAGTGAAATCATATGGTACTTGTCTTTCTCTGACTGACTTATTTTGCCTAGCATTATACTCTCTAGCTCTAACCATGTCATTGCCCAAGATTTCATTCTTTTTTATGGCTGAATAATATTCCACTGTATGTATACCACATCTTTATTCATCAGTCTATGGACGCTTGGGCTGCTTCTATAATTTGGCTATTGTAAATACTGCTGTAAACAGGGGGGTAGATGTATCCCTTTGGATTAGTGTTTTTGTATTCTTTGGGTAAATATCCAGTAGTGCCATTGTTGGATTCTAGTGTATTTCTATTTTTAACTTTTTGAGGAACTTTCATACAGTTTTCCACAGTGGCTACGTTCATCCATGTAAACTTGAAAGCATAATCTCACGGTGAGATCTTGGCAGTATTATCACTGTGAAAAGGCATAAACAATCTTGATGGGATAAGATGAATGAGGATTGAATGAGGTAATGCAGTGGGACAATACTTGTACAGTATTATGTACTCTGCAAATGTGTATGTGTGTGTTTTCTAATCACAAAGTCTGAGTAATTGAGACTTGATGCCACTTAAGAGGGTCTCCACTTGGAGGGCCTAGAGAAATACTGTGAACTCTAAAATAAAAGTTGGCTTATTCTGAATAATCAAATATAGAAACAAAAAAAAAAGCTGTCTAAAGTTAGCCAATAAACTCTTGAACTTTGTGTGTGTGTGTGTGTGTGTGTGTGTGTAATGTAGCATACTCCTTAGAGCTTAAAACCAGAAACACAAATGTGCTTTGGGGTTAGAACATTGTGCCAAGTCTCAGCCCAGAGCAGCTATTTACAGCAGCCATAAATCCTCTTAGATAGGAATTGGTAATGGGAAATGTGACCAATCCCTTTAGCAGTAGAGAGTAGTGAGGAGGACTACCAGGCACCTGCTGTAATAATTGGAGACAATTCAAATGAATAAATAATGAGCTAAATAAATATTTAAATGTACTCCAAGATAAAAACCTGAAAAGTGATTTTCTAATTTGTTGAAGTAATGTGAAACACAAACTAATACTTGCATATGGGTAGAATTCCTGCTTTGGTTATATCTGCTTGCTTTATTTCCAGTACAGGGTACTACCCATGTGGGTGATTTTAGAACTTCCTGTGTTTGTGGCACCAGTTGGCACTGTGGACATGATATGACCTGTGAAGGTTGACTGTCAGTTCTTCCAAGGAAAAACCTTTATTAGCTGTTGAACTTGCTGTCCCCTGGCTCCCTTTCATCAGTCATAAAGTCTTGGGAGACGGTATTTACTTTCCTACTAGGACTAGCTCCCTGAAGCACATATGGGTCTCTTTACTAGGTGG